CGCAGCAATGCTACTACTACTAGTAGTACTAGTACTCCTAGTACTACCAGTAGTAGGAGTATTGCCCATAAAGCCGCTAAGGACCACCCCTTAGCAAGTACTAGAAACGGCTTCAGTGATCGACATCTGATGACGAGTCATCAGACCCATACGAATGGCTGCAGGAAATACCCAGATCCGTACGATTTGGACGGCCAGGATCCAAGCAAGGAGCTCAGAGACTCCCTCCTGACAGCGTGCGACAACTCGCCTCTAGAAGCGGTGGAGATTGGGTCGCAGGCGCGCGAGCCTGGCGACGTGTACGACGTTCTCCCGCTGCTGGCGATGCCCCTGCGACTGCTGGGGGCGGGGCGAAACAGCATGGCGATTTCGTGGAGGATTGTAACCATCGCGGCGGACGACGAGCTGGTGACGAGCGGGGAGCTGAAACTTTTGGGCCCGGATCTGTTGGATCAAGTGCGGAAGTGGGCGGGAAACTCGGACTTCGGATATGGAGAAATTGCTGGACCAGGTATGTTCCCACCCACCTCCTCTTCATCTCCCACCCCTCCTCTCCTTCCCCTCCCACCCACCTCCTCTCCTTCCTCTCCCCCTACCTCCTCTCCTTCCTCTCCCGCCCACTTCCGCTCCTTCCTCTCCCCTACCTCCTCTCCTTCCCCTCCCACCCACCTCCTCTCCTTCTTCTCCCACCCACCTCCTCTCCTTCCTCTCCCGCCCACCTCCTCTCCTTTCTCTCCCGCCCACCACCTCTCCTTCCTCTCCCACGCACCACCTCTCCTTCCGCTCCCACGCACCACCTCTCCTTCCTCTCCCACGCACCACCTCTCCTTCCTCTCCCACGCACCACCTCTCCTTTCTCCAAGAACTGTTTCTTCTGAAACATGGGTCCTTTTCCTGGCCAAAACGAGCACCTTTTTTTTCCTACCCCTCAACCTTTTCCCTTAACCCCCATCCCCGTTATCCTTCTCCCCTGCCCTCCCCGCTCCTCCTTTTTCCCCCGTCTTTCACAGACCTCTGCTTCTCCTCTTCCCCAACCCTTCCCCAGGCCTTTCTGACAACCCTAGGCTCTTCTCCTTCCCCCTCCTTTGCCCCCTCTCTTTCCCCTTGTCCCCAGGTCGCTCAGTCAGCCCTACGGACCTCTTCTCCTCTCCCCCTCTTGGGAAGTTATGGATAGCAAAGGCCGGGGAAGGTCGTCTGGGGAACAGGCCCTCCTCTTCGTCTTCCCCCTTCCCTCTACCCACTCTCCCCCCCACCCCCACCCCACGCCCTCCCCCCCCGCCTCCGCCCTCTTGTCCTCAGGCCGTTCTGTCAGCCCTAGGACCTCTTCTCCTCCCCCTCTCTCGGGGATTAAAGGGTAGCAGAAGACTGGGAGCGCCGTCAGGGGAACAGACTGCTTCTGAGGCGCCTCAAAATTCCTCCCCTTCTTCTTCCCCCTCCCATCCACTTCCCTCCCCCCCATCCCCTTTGTCCTCAGGACGTTCGATCACCCCTAGGGACATCTTCTCCTCTCCTTCCCTGAGGGAGGGAGGGAGGGAGAGGCCTAAGGGGAGGCCTTGGGAAGGCCGTTAGGGGAACAGACGTGCTTCTGAGGTGTCTCAGAACCCCTCTCCTTTCTCCCCCCTCCCCTCCACTTCCTCCCCTTGTCCTCCTCAAGCTGTTCTGTCAACCTTAGGCTCTTCTCCTTCCCCCTCCCCCCCAACCCTTCACCCCCACCCCTCCTTGTCCCCAGGTCGGCTCAGTCACCCTAGGGACCTCTTCTCCTCCCTCCCTCTCTCTTGGGGAGGATGGGGAGGGAGAGGACCGTGGAGGGCCGTCAGGGGCCCTGGCTGTTTCTGAGGCGTTTCAAAGCTCTCCTCTTCTCCTTCCCCCTCCGTCTCTCCCCCCCCGGTCTCCAGGCCCTCAGTCAACCCTAGGGACCTCTTCTCCTCCCCCTCTCTTGGGGAGGATGGGGAGGGAGAGGCCTGGGTAGGGCCGTCACAGGGACAAGCTACGGAGGTCAAATCAGAAGAGCAGGGGGGGAGTGGGACTCTCCGTGGGGAAAGGCGGCAGGCAAGCAGGGAGAGGGTGGAGAGGAGGGAGAGGACGGAATGACGGGGTGGGGAAGGCAGGCAAGCAAGCCAAGCAAGCAAAGGAGAGAGAGGAGGGAGGGGAGGGAGGGGGGAGTGGGTGAAGGTAGCCAATGCAGCAAAGGAGGCGGAGGAGACTATTCGGTACTCCACAGCACGTGGAAGCTCCTCTGCCCCACGCTCCGCCGGCCACTACTGAAGCGACTGGGGAAGGCCAGTGGGCGGATGAACGAGCCCGCCGTTGCTGGGGCGTAGGGGCGACGAGCCTGCCCTGTCTGTGCGCGAGCATAGGGAAAAAGCGCCACAGGACGATCAGCCAGCCAGCAGCAGCAGCAGCAGCAGGGAGCACGTCGCTGTAGAACCGTCCCTGCGTCTCTATCAGCCTCCTCGATCTCACCACCGTCCTCCTCTTTGTCAGCTTCTAGCCGGCCATCATATCAAATCCGTCAGATACAATCCGCACCAGATTTTGCTGTCACCACCAGCAGCGCCTGGAGGCTCATCGCCCTCCAGAGAGCTACGGCCTTCCGGGGCTCCGCTCGTCTAGGCTTGGCGGAGTGGAAGGGGGGGAAAGCGGAGGAGGGAGAGGAGGGGGAGGAGAGGAAGGGGACGCGGGGTGTGGGGGAAAGAGCCCAGCATGTATAGGCACAGACATGGGCACAGCTATTCGGATTTTGCGTTTCTGTGGAACAGAGATTGGCTGCAAGGCTCTGAGGAGATTGCTGGTCAGGTGGTGGCTTTCGGTTGGGGCTGTAGCGGGTGCTGGTAGCGGGGGCTGTAGCGGGGGCTGTAGTAGAAACTGTCGCAAGCGCTGTAGTGGGGGCTACAGGCTCGGTGGTTGGGATGGCGGGTAATGTGGCTGAGACTGTAGCGGGACAGCAGGAACAGTGGTGGGGAAGTGACCGAAGCGGCTGGCACTGTAGCAACGGCTGTAGCATCGGCTGTAGCAGAATCGATAGAGGAAGCAACGGCTAAGCCCAAGGAAGCAGTAGAGGCTGTAGCACGAAGAGTGAAGGATGTAGCGGCTGTCAAGGCTGTGAGCACACGAGTGAGGCAGGGAAGAGGCGCTCTAGCTGCTGCTGTGGGAACAGGAAATAAGGCGCTTCTGGACGGCCGCGGTGGAAGTCTTTTGACCTCGCGTGTTTGGACGGGGAAAGTGTACCGTGCAAGGGTCTAGAGTTGGCCAAAGGGGAGGGAGGTACTGGGGAGGGAGGGACTGGGGAGGGAGGTACTGGGGAGGGAGGGACTTGGGAGGGAGGCATTGGGGAGGAAGGGACTGGGGAGGAAGGTATTGGAGGTGGTGACGGGGAGGGAGGAATTCGGAAGGGAGGCACCTTATCACTGGAAAGGAACCGTCTCGCCATGAGTGGAAAGAGAGATGAGGAGGAGGAGGGGAAGCCGGGTACCTTCAGTGGTCGGTGGGGTTCATCGCCTCATGACTCCCTCATGGTAGCTCCTCCTTTCTCTGCTGCACCTGGCTCTTCTCTCTTTCCCCCCTCTTCCTGGTCGCCTGCTGAGGGGAAGTTGGGTAGCTTCAGTGCTCGGTGGGGTGATTCCCCAATGGTAGCCCCCCCTTTCTATGCTTCAGCCGGATCCCCTCTCTTTTCCCCTCCTTCCTCGTTGCCTTCCCCCCCTCCCCCCCTCACTCGATCCCCTCCCATCTGTCGTCCCCGCCCTCGATCTCCTTCTCTCACTCCCCCCCCTCGGTCCCCTCCTCTCACTCCCCCCCCTCGATCCCCTCCTCTCACTCCCCCCCTCGATCCCCTGCTCTCACTCCCCCCCCTCGGTCCCCTGCTCTCACTCCCCCCCCTCGGTCCCTGCCTCTCACTCCCCCCCCTCGATCCCCTGCTCTCACCCCCCCCCCTCAGTCCCCTCCTCTCACTCCCCCCCCTTGGTCCCCTCCTCTCACTCCCCACCCTCGATCCCCTCCTCTCCTCCCCTCTCACCCTTCCGCTGTCTCCCACTCCTCCTCCTCTCGTGGTTTCCCCGACGCACCAAGTGCCGCCGGCTCTCCCACCCCTCTCAAAAGAGTCTCTTGGGACCTCACGTTCAAGCCTCGTGGAGGAGGAGTAGCAGCAGCAGCAGCAGCAGCAGCAGGAGGGGGAGGAGGAGGAGCAGGAGTAGCAGGAGCAGCAGGAGGAGGAGGAGGAGGAGGAGGAGGAGGAGTAGCAGCAGGAGTAGCAGCAGGAGGAGGAGGAGGGGGAGGAGGAGGAGGAGGAGGAGGAGTAGCAGCAGAAGCAGCAGCAACAGGAGGAGGAGCCAAGGGGCCTATACCACGCAGGGCAACCTGGCATGCAGCAACCACTGTTGAAGCTACTTCTGTAGCTGTTGCCATGACAGCAGAAGAGCCAGCAGAGCGAGACTATGAAGCTATTGCTGCCGCAGCTTTTGCCAGTCAGATAGCACATGCTGCTGCTGCTGGTGCTGGTGCTGCTGCTGCTGGTGTGACTAAATCTTCCTCCTCCAAGGCTTCCGGGAAGCTTCCTTCATTTGAGCTGCCCAGGAAAGGTTTCAGCTTTGACCAGAGGCACAGGCGTAATGTGTCCCTGTCCGAGCTCCCGCAATTTTCATCCGTTGATCTTTCGGGCAGCTTGGAAAAAGGTTCTGTATGTGGGAAAGCCCAGGCAGGAAGCGGACAGGGAAAGGTGCATGCATCATCTGTTGCAGTTTCAAAGGCTTGCAGACCACAGAGTGCCTCTGCAGGAGGCACAGCAGGAGGAGCGGCAGGAGGAGGAGCAGGAGGAGCAGCAACTGGAGGAGCCAAGGGGCCTATACCACGCAGGTCAACCTGGCATGCAGCAACCCCTGTTGAAGCTTCTTCTGCCACTGCTGCCGTGGCAGCAGAAAAGCCAGCAGAACGAGGCTATGGGGCTATGATTGCTGCCGCAGCTTTTGCCAGTCAGGTAGCAGAAGCATCTGCATCTTCGGCTAAGTCCTCCCCCAGGGCTTCCCGGAAACTTCCTTCTTTTGATCTGCCCAGGAAAGGTTTCAGCTTTGACCAAAGACACAGACGGAACTCGACCCTTACCGAGCTTCCACATTTTTCATCCGCTGACTTCTCGGGCAGATTAGAGACGAATTCTGTAAGTGGGGAAGCCCAGGGACGAAATGGAGGGAAAAGGAATTGTTGGTTGTCTGTTGCAATTCCCAAGGTTAGCAGCAGCCACAGGAGAGTCTTAAGCAGTACCTCGGGATTTGGATCTCCAATTCACTCCCCGACCTAGATAGCCCAGTGCCTACAGTTTGGTTTGGACTGAGCATATTGGGTGATATATGTGTTTGGGTTGTACTTTCTAAGAGCACAAACCTGTCTAGCCTTTAACTATACATGCAGTTTGCATAGTGTTGGGCTGAGAATGGCCCTAGGATCTTTTCAGGGAAAGAAGTCTTGAGTGAACCCTTGTGCTGGTATGTGAGAACAAGTGATTGATTATAGCTAAGGGATACAAAGGTTTATATAAGAATACAAGAGAATGTCGAATAATGCTAGAAACTTCCGTCATCGCCCGGATAGAAGACCTATGGGTCTTATCCAAAAGTAAAAGCCTTCCTTGGGGATTTCCTTATAATCAGGAATAAATGGGGGTCTTATAGATCTTATAACCGGAACTTTTGTAAAAGGGCCTAAAAAGGCATCGCTGGTTTGGTTCAGACATGATAGTACAGAATCATGCTCTAACGGAGAAGATGTTTGCAGTGAAAGCTGCAATCATGACCAGTGCCTATTTTTCACGAGTAAATTACTCTGATTCTCTGAAAATCAGAGTTGATTTTGCGTACCACCCTTTCGCCTCTGGGTCAATTTTTGAAATTATATGTTTTCTCTGATTTATCAGAGTTGGCCTACGTACTACCCTGCGGGATTTTCAATAGAGGGTATACCCCCAGATTATTGCTGTACTGTACTCCTTGACGACAGATGAAATCCGCCAGACATTGACAAAAATGCCTACTAGTCCCCTAGCCGAACCCAAGAATTTCGGCGAAGTCCCCACAACCGAAGACATTCCTAGCAAGCACCCCCTCCAACCCATTCGGCTAAGTCCCTCACAGCCAGAAACATTTCTCCCAAGCACCCTCCCGTGTCCTAAAAATTCAGCTAAGTCCCTCACAGCCAGAAACATTTCTCCCAAGCAACCTCCCATGTCCTAAAAATTCAGCTAAGTCCCTCACAGCCAGAAACATTTCTCCCAAGCACCCTCCCGTATCCTAAAAATTCAGCTAAGTCAGACGGGCCTAGCAAGGATCCTCGGTCCCTGACTCGGATTCTTGCTCGGTATTACGTGCACCGCCCGCCTGGGACTGTACACATCATTTGCCGCCTGCGCCACGACTCTGGATGCGACCCTGAACCTGGCCCTTATTGCCCCGCCAAAGGTCGTGGTGCTTAGTTTCGGTTCTCGGCTAAAACCTGAACTTGGGCTAGATACATAGTTCGCAGCACATTTCGATAGGGCTTCGTGAATGTCATTCAGGGCAAAAGTTTCGCGAATTTTGGTACTACTTCAGGATTTTCAAGAACTGGAAATGTGAGCACCACGCCCTTTGGTTTCGTTGTCTAGCGCCCGTTGTAAGGCATTTCCACGAGTGATGAGATGCGACTGTGGTGGCTGCTTGTACAAAAGTGGGCGTGACCTGTGCACTTTTGTTAATGAAAGTGGCTCTAGGAATGATCCCTTATAATCAGAGTTATTATTTTGGAAACAGAGAAAAACCCTGAAAAACCAGAGTTAGTGCTCCAGGTAACCCTGAAAATCAGAGGCACAGATTTCACTCCTGAAAACCAGAGTAGTGAAAAACCAAAGATCAGCACTGATCATGACTTACACCCGGGCATGCTTGGTAATGAATACTCGCTTCACTGTGTCAGCGTTGGCACAGCGCCCGCATGATGGATTGGACTGACCATGTCAAAACAGAGTGGCAAGGTCTGCGCTGTCACCGAACCATGTCCAAGATGGTTGTTGTACAGCCATCCTGTAATTGCCACCGTCTATCGCACAGTTATCAGCATCAAGCTGATGGATGCAATGAGTTGCGATGCCACCACTTGTATGGCACATGTGGTGACGACAATATTGCTTACGCGGATGTTGCCCAGCGCTGCTTCTGGAGGGAACAACAAGGACACTCTCATCTGTGGCAGGAACACTCGACTGTGTGCTGCGCATCTCGGCAGGGTAGTCCCCTCCATTTTCTGTTTTCCAGCTGTGATCGCTTCTAGAGGTCACTTCTCACCGAGCTAAGGTAGCCTTCTGCCTGCGCAATGCCCCCGTGCAATGCGCAGGTAGTGTTCACCAGTCTGTAGGCACATGGCATGCGAGCCTGGAAGGTCAGACTGTACGTCCTCCCCTAGCGTCTACGTTAACATCTTCGGTAGGCTCAATTCCCCCGGAGACACCATCCAAATCCGCCATTCTCGAAACCAACAAAGTATCTTCAAGGAGCAAACAGGCACGATTGGTGACTCCGCCTCCTACGCCATGAATCGAGAGCATGGGCTCGAAGAGGACGACGATGCGGGCGCGAAAGAGTGGCCTGAAGACGGTTGATACGCTGGAGAGAACACCTTGACGTCACCAACCTGCGACGTCGAGGATGATGAGTGGTGGGCAGCGCCGATAGGGTCGGATGAGGAGGTGGAGGAGTGGCACGCTGGCGATGACACAGATGGAGGCGAGGACGATGGTGGCGTGTGCACGGCTGGCAACCCAACATCGATGGTACCAGGCTTTGAGCATGAGGCAGAGGGCGGTCACGAAGCGAGCGAGGCGTCTCCTGCAGCGGAAGGCGGAGCCAGTGCTGACAGCGTCGCCTATCATGCGGCCGACACCAACGCGTTGGAATCGCCAGACAACAACTCCAATGACAACGAGCCTCTTGCGAAGCGGAAGCTGAAGTTTACGTTGAGCATATCCAAGCGCCGACGGGAAAAGGTCAACGACTCCCGCAAGCATGACCATGCGGCACCAGCTGGAAGCAAGCGCAAGGCTGCCACCAATTGTACGCCATCAGAGAAGCACCAGCGGTACTCACGGGAGGAGAAGGGGAAGGCGAAGGTGCCCGAAGCGGATGAACCCCAAAAGAGGAAGCGGCAGCAGTTGCTGCCGTCTGCTCAACGAGCGAAGAAGAAGCCCCAGCGTGATACCAACAGCAGACGATGAGGTAGCAGAGGCTTTGGAGAACTCCGACGAGGACTACGCGGAAGCCGCTGGCCCACTCCCGGACTTCCCTGAAGGCATGAAGCCCAAAGATCCGTGAGAGAAGAATCCCAACGCGAAGGCATCATCTCCTCGGCCGCGGGTCTCAAGAGGACCAGGAGAAGCTGGAACATCCGCAAGAAGATCAAGTGGGAGAAACGGTATGGCGAGATCAAGTCATTGAAGAAGACTGCTGTAGAGGCTGGAGTCACGGCATGCACGATACGCTGGTGGGTGGGCCAGACGGAATCCGGGGTGTACGCTGGGGCAGCGTCTAGTCGAAAGCGTCTACACGGCGCGGGGTGACACTCCATATACCCTGACATGGAGGAGAAGCTGTATCGATACATCTGCATGGAGTGGAGCAAGGGGATTGCTGTCTCGGTGCGCGACACTCAAAAGTGGAGCAGGGCGTACATGCGAAAGCATCACCCCAAGAGCCCCTGGCAAGCCTCCTCTCACTGGAGTCAACGATTCCGGGATCGTTGGAATCTGATGATGCGAGTGAATACCAAAGTTGGCCAACGAATGGCTGCAGATAAATCTCCTTACTACTGTATGTCATTGTGCCTCTCCATCTTTCCATCCTCTGATTGTGTTCGGAGTGAAACTGCTCGCTCACCAAGTCCATGTCTTCCCTTGCCCGCCCCAGATCCCTCAGATTGCGCTCAAGATAGCGAGAGCTTTTGGAAATTCATCCGTATCAATCGCGCGCGGCATAACCTCGACCCCAGTCGCATCATTAATGCCGATCAAACGCCGCTATTCTGCGAGATGCTGTCCGGACGCACACTGGAGCACAGGGGTGCACGATTGGTTCCAGTGAAAACTGCAGGGTACGAGAAACAAAGACTCACCGTCATGCTTGCCTACACTGCAAGTGGCGAGAAGTTGCGCCCGTGGGTGTGGTTCAGACGAAAGACCATGGCGAACAGCGCAGTCTCGATGTGCACTGCAATCCTACTGAAGTCTCGCCTTGCAAACTCACATGCCCGACTCTCGTTTGGTTTTTGGTGTGGCAGGCATCAAGGTCCAGGCGCAGGAGAATGGTTCAGAAAGGATATCATGCCCTACCTGAATCCAAAGAAGGGGGAGAAGGCACGGCGTGCGATGCTTGTGCTGGACTCTTACAGAGGTCACCTAACGCACGGGATGAAGAACTCCTACGCCCTCAATAGCATCGTCCCCGCCATTATCCCTGCAGGTTGCATCTCCTTTGTCCAGCCCCTTGATGTTTCCATTAACAGGTGTTTCAAAGCTGGCATTCGTGCAAGGTACGCACGCTGGTTCTCACGCCACGTAATCTACCTGAAGACGCCCTAAGGTATACTCTAATTCATTGATTTTCTGGCTCACTGATTCCTTGATTTCTAGGCTTGTTGATTCCTTGATTTCTAGGCTCAAAGTCCCAGTCCTTGTCATCCGAAGCCACTCTGCATTGTACATTTGAAGTTTAGGGAGAGAACCCTCAGCCGCCTCTGCATGCGCATCTGTCCATCCCCCACGTCAGGAAATCTGAAGCGACCACCCCATCCTGTGGTGCTGAAGTGGATCAGCGATGCGGTTCCGCGCGACATCATTGTGAAGGCCTTTAATACCTGTGGAATATCGAGCAACCTGGATGGTTCCGATATCTATGTGGTGCTATAGCACATGCACCCACGGAGCTAGTGCGACGTCTCGAAGGACATGTCATTGAAAGGGACCAGCGGCGACAACAGCGGGTTTGTGGGGCCTAATGGGGTGCTGGAGGAGGAGGAGGAGGAGGAGAAGGAGGAGGAGGAGGAGGAGGAGGAGGAGGAGGAGGAGGAGGAGGAGGAGGAGGACCCCTACCCAGACACCAAGGACTGTTGTGGAGCCGCAACCGAAGCAGACAAGATGGATAAGCCTAAGGCCATAACGCAGCATGCATGGAGCTTCCCCGTGTTCATGAAGAACCCTGACTGACTGTTGAGTTGCACTTCTGACTGTTGAGTTGCACGGTCAACGGTTTGCGACCGTTGCCCTTTCGTAACCTTTATGAGGTGTCGTCAGACTACGTCAATCGTCAGAGATACTGTGCATTGAGGACTAGCACAATATTTTCGCACGTACAATTATTTCGTAGGTGCAACACCAACGCACGCAACCCTGCTAATGAAAACAGTTGCCGATACCATGTGAAAATTTTGTCGCCTTCAGTAGAAATCGTGTGATCCACGTCAATGCGTTCCTAAGTGG